GGGAGAGAGATTTTTTTTGGGGGGGAATTTCCCCGCGTTTGTTTTTTTGGTTTTTTTTTTTTTTTTTTTTTTTAACACGGTGGTTGGGGGGAGACAAGACAGAGAGTGATATGATTCGTTTGATGAATGAGAATTTTGAGAGAGCCAAAAGAAAGAAAGAGTCTTGAATTGAGAGCTTGAGATTGGAACGGTCATCACTTATAATAATGTTATTTAAACAAGCTTTTTAAATAAACAATTTTTTTTAAAGGAAAACTTCTATTCAAACAAAAACAATAAATAAATGGCACAATATAAGATTAATAATTTGATAAAAAGACAACGCATGCTTAAAATTTAAAAACCCGAGATAATTTTAACATATTAAGATCGAACACATTTAAACTTTGATTTAAAAAAAATATCTCTTATCAAAATAAACTTCTAAACGCTGAGATGACAAAATAATAATCCTAACTCAGAGAGGATAATTGTATTACGATATAGACAATATTTTAATTAAACTAAATAATCTGCACCGTCAAAGAAACACTCAATTGAGTGAGAGACATAACTAATATTTGATTGTGAATAAAACCACCTCCGTTCTTACTAAAAAAAAATAAAAATTAACGAGAATAACATCACCATACCTTTGTTACATTCCAAAACACAAAGCAAATAAAAAAAATAAAAAAACTCAAAACTTCAATGACACAAGCTTTTAACAATGACGCAATCGGTGAGAGAAGCAAGAGAGGAAGAAAAATGCTTCAATAAATAATTTCTTATATATTTTGTTTTACTATTTTTTTTTAATGATGTTTTACTATTATTTTTTTGATAAAAGTAATGTGAACAAACGAGCACGACGATTCTGTGGTAAATTGGTAATTATATGGGAAAGAACAGTAATGTCTTTATGTTTTCTTGCGTGAAAAGAAAATCTCTTCATTTAATAATTTAGCTAATTTATCCAATCAAGTATTTACAAGGGCTTATTACTAATGAATTCTCGCCTTCTATTTTTGTGTCTACTTTTTTTTATTTAATTGGAGTTTTTATCACATCTAAAGTTAAAACTTAAAAATCAATACTATTAGTAAGATAATCCTATCGTTAATTAAAATTGAAAAAGGATTAAAATTAGAAACCATACGACACCACTTTTGTAAAAGTGTTTACGCATCCCTAAGCGTAGGCCTTGGCTCACGACATACTTTGCAGTCTCTTTTGCAGTTCGTAGCTTTTTAGACGAAGCTCACACGGCCTAGACACGCACTTCTTTTTTATTCATTTATTTTTGTGAAAAAAACTGTGGACAAGCACTTTTTCCCGTAAAAGAGCAAGATCAGGAACCGTTGATCAGGAATAAAAACTTTCACAGATCACATCAAACCCCACACCTGTCACCGACCCCGCCGTACGACACAGTCGCCCACACCATTTTATGGTTTTGCTGCCGTGACAGCTTTCGCACCGAGTCCTGGGTAACGGGATACTGTGGTGCCGCCACGTGTTAGTGTTATGGCGTGTGGGACCCATAGGGATAAAACGACGACTTGGTCGTTAAATCGTGGAAGGGCTTATACATACCGAGTCTACGTTGGCGCGTAGAAACGACGACTGACTCTTTCTTCTTCCCTTCCGCTATTCTACAATCACAATGCGATGAAAAATGAGTTTATGATGACGTGGCCCTTTTTATGTACGAAATGACCTTACTGCCCTTTTTCCAAAAACTTTTCCTAATAAAGAATGAGAGATAAAGGTATCAAATGGGCCGGGCCGTCCCAGCCCGTAACAGTGCTGAGTTCGGCACAGCCCGGTACGGTACTGTTACGAGTCGTGCCGGCCTGACACGTTTGATGGGCTAGGGCTGGGCCGCGGCTTCTCAGCCCGCGGCCCAGGCTCGGCCCTAGCCCTTGAAGCCTCGAGGCCCGGCCCAAACCCAGTTCGGCCCGCGATACGGCCCTTTGTTCAACCCGGCCCAGGCACGTGTTCGGCCTGTAAAGCGGCCCTCCTAGTACGCCAGACTTGTGACCATTGGGCACGCGAAGGGCCCAACGGTCACAAGCCGAAAATCCACCCCAAAAAGCCCTATAAATATCCCTTAATCCTATACAACAATTCATTCTCAACTTCTCTTCTCAGTCTCATTCTATATCTCATCTTGTCTCTTTGATATTGATTCTAAGCTCTTCTCTCTCGATTATTCATTTTCTTACTCTTTCATTTACAAAGTTCAATCAATTTCTAAAAATCCCAGAAAAAAGGTATTCTAGTTATCAATTTTGTTACATAACATTATATTATTCAAGTTTATTTATATTGTTTATTTTTTTTATAAATGAACGAATTAACATTAGTTTCTGTTTTTTTTTTCATAAAATGGTCGCATCAAATTTTCACGATTTCACTGCTCTTTCTGAGCTTGGTGATGGGGCATTTTACGAGGATGAAATGTTAGCCCACAACACCACCCCCACTAAACTGGAAACTGCTCCAATTGATAATGCTTAAATGCACAACAAGGAAGTTGGGGGACGTAGCAGGGGAAAAAGACCACGAACTTCTCCCGCATGGCAACATTTCACAGAGGAGCCGCGAACTTCAATGCACAATGTGCGGTATGTAAATATTGTGAAAAGTACTTTTCTAATAAAAAGGGTGGGGGTACTAGTCATCTGGATAGACAATGGAAAGCATGTCTACCGTTGCACTAAGATGAGAGTGTCGACTCCTGCCAATAAACACTATCACTCACATCACAAGGGTTGCAAAATTTTACGTACAATGCACAACGTGCTCGTGAGGCACTAGCTAAATTTTTAGCTAGTGCCGAATTATCTCTTTTTTTGTAGAAACACAACTCGTTTTTATTGCATGAAAGTGTTTTATACAATGAGACAATCTCTAGTTGATAATTTTAGGTCTTTTAATGCTACTATATCTTGTACTTCTGATCTATGGAAGGGGTGCAATAAAACTGAATATTTATGCGTCACGGCGCATTATGTCGACGATGAATGAGTTTTACAAAAGAGAATAATAGGTTTTTGTTTATGTCCATTTCCTATAACGCAAATGTTATTTTTGAAACAATAATGGAAATTTTTGGGATTTATGGGATAAAAGATAAAGTTTTAATTATTACTTTTTATAATGCGTCAGCTAACACGACTGCAATTAACATGTTTAAACGTAGTTTGGAACCAGCGTTTGGTGGTGAAATTTTTCATCAACAGTGTGCGTGTCACATAATAAATTTAGTAGTACAAGCAGGAATTGAATATATTTTCTCTAATCTAACAAATATTAGAGAATCGTTATCCTTCATATCTAGTTCTGGAGCTCGGCTCCAAGAATTCTGACAATATTGCAAGAATAGCCAGATGCGCCCATGAAAGTTTCCAACTGATGTGAGACATAGGTGGAACTCCACCTACTTAATGTTGAAGGCTGCACTTCCGTATCAACAGCTCATCACAACGTATGTGAACAATAAGAACGATCAAATTTTATTTTTGATACAGATTGGAACATTGGTGAGTACTTTTTTAAATTTTTAGAAGTTTTCTACAATGCTATTGAACTACTTTCTGGAGTTTATTATCCCACTTCACATTTAGCTTTGCATCAACTTTTTAATATTTCAGAAACATTTTCTTATTATAGGGATATTGAACTTTTTGGAACTATAGTTAAGCTAATGGAAGCTAAATTTAAAAGTTATTAGTCTGGTTGTCCTATGTTATATGCATTAGCAACTATTTTAGATCCTAGATACGGAGTAGATGAGACCAAATCATTAATGACTCCTACAACAGAAAATTTAGGTATTGATATGCAACTAACTATTATTGATGCTAGGAAAATGTTAGAAAAATTATTTGGTTTGTATGAAGCAAAATACGGAACAGGTAAAAAATTACAGGGAACTTCAATGTCAACTAGTAGTTCGGGGCCTAAAAGCTCATCGTGCAGCTTATTGAAGAAGAAAGAGAAAACGTCAGGATCGTCATCAACACAAGCGTCTACCGAACTGATAAAATATTTTGAATCAAATTTTGTAATCGATGACAACAAACTGGACATCTTACAATGGTGGAGGAGCAAGACTGATCATTTTATAACGTTGTCCATAATAGCCCGTGACATTCTGACAACTCCAGTGTCAATGGTAGCATCGAAGCAAGCATTTAGTGCAAGCAACCGAATTCTTGACGAGAAGAGAAGCAGAATATATCCATATATCTTTGAGGGGTTAATGTGTGTTAAAGACTGAAAAGATGCCAGAAAACAAAAACAGTAATATACAAATGATTCAATTCAAGAATATTTTTCTAACTTAGACATAACAGAATCTTCTGGAAGCACTTAGGTTTTGTAATTTACTTATCATAGAATATTGCACTATTTTTTCCTTCGCTAAGGTTTTGTCCCGATCTCCCCAAGAGTTTTGCTTGGCAAGGTTTTTAACGAGACATTCATTTATATGTACTTATTCGTATTATCCCAATTCAATAAAATCATATCTTTTATAAGCATATGATATATATATATATATATATTTTTAATTAAATATTGCTAAAAAAATTAAAAGGGCTAGGGCCAGCTTGACCCTGACCCTTATGGACTAGAGTCGAGGACTAGTGCTGAGCCTGAAGGCTTCTCCTCAAGTCCGACTATGGTACGGTCTTACACTGTGCAGGACCATACCGAACACGACCCAAACCCGTCATAGACCTAAGATTAAAAAGGCCATACCAACCTGACACAACCTATGAGAGAGATTCAAACCATCCATGTGGCTCTCCACAATCAAGAATGTATCTTTCATAAGAAAGTGATAACTATAAATAAGAATAAAGAGAGATTGGAATGGGGTCCGCTAATTGATTACAATCAAAATAAACGGAAGGGGGAGATGAAATAAAAGTTATTTATTTCATTATTCTAAATAAAAACATTTTATTAGAAAGTGACACGAG